GGACGGTTTCCCCAAACCTCGTCCCCCCCATCACAGGCACAGGGCCGTGCGTTAGCCGCCTGTCGGGGCTTTCCCCATGGAGGTGCACAGCAGCAAGAACTTCGCCCCGAGCAGAGGCAGCACCCAGGGCACCGCTGGGATGCTGCTGCTCCGGGCCCTGGAAGACCTCTCCGAATTGGATTTTAAAAAATTTCGGGATGCGCTGGCACGTGGAGACCTACGGGGCGGGCGCCGCATTCCCTGGGGGCGGCTGGAGAAGGCCGACTACGAAGAACCTCATGCTGGATTTCTACGGCGAGGAGGCTGCCCTGGATGTGGCGATAGCTGTCTTTGAGCGCATCCAGCTCATCAACGCTGCCGCCCTGCTCAAGGAAAGCAGAGAGAAAGGTGGGAAGGCTGAACCCGGCGAGTGCAGTATCTTGTGGGGTCCCGGGCACCGTGTTCTGGGGGTTGTGTCTGCAAAAGCCTGTGTTTGGGGCCAGAAGGATGCTATGGAAAGGGTGGTGGGTGGCAGGTCCCCACTGCAGGGTGCAGGGGGCTCCTCCAGGGAGGAGGAGATGGAAGAGGATTTGGGGGTGTTGGGGGCTCAGTGATGCTGCCCATTAACACTCCTTTCTCTTCCAGCCCTGAGGCCCACTCCTCTGCGGGGTTCATCATCACCATCAGCGGCGAGGAGAAACGCAGGGGGCTCTGCCACTGCTTGCCCTGCGGTCTGCGGATGTTTGTGGTGGCTTCCCGCCTTTCCAAATTACCAGAGGAAGTACAAAAAAGCCATACGCCAGGCGTACAGTCGCATAAAGGAGCAAAACGCCCGGGTGGCAGAGGACGTGAATCTGAACGCCAGGTACTCGAAGCTGGTGATCCTCAACAAGCACCTTGATGAAGAGCAATGGGAGCAGGAGATCATGGCCATGGGACGGAGGCACGCGGAGATCCCAACCCCCCCATTGCTATCGGTGCCCTCTTCAAGCCCGGCCCTGATGGCTGCATCCCCAAGGTGGTCGTGCTCCTGGGAGCTGCGGGCATGGGCAAGACGATGACGGCCAGGAAGATCATGCTGGACTGGGCATCCAACAAGATGTTTGCCGAGTTTGACTATGTCTTCTACATCCACTGCCAGGAGGGCAACCTCCTGGACAGACAGGCCAGCATGGCCGACCTCATCACCCAGTGCTATCCTGGCAGCTCTCCGCCGCTCGCCCAGATGCTGGGGCAGCCGAAGAAGCTCCTGTTTGTGATCGATGGCTTTGATGAGCTCTGCTTTTCCTTCGACCAGCACCAGTCTGAGCTGTGCTCAGATCCCTGGGAGCAGCAGCCGTGGAAATCACCCTGAGCAGCCTCTTCCGCAGGACGCTCCTGCCCAAGAGCTCCCTGCTCATCACCACGAGGCCGGCCGCCCTGCAGAAACTGCGCAGCTGCCTGGAGTGCGAGCGCTACGCTGAAATCCTGGGGTTTTCGGAGGCAGAGAGGAAGGCGTATTTCCACAGGTTTTTCGAAAATGCGGAGCATGCGGCTGGCACCTTCCAG